TATCCGGTTTAGTATTTATCCTTATTTAATATATCTAGCCATGCAGGCCTCGAGAAACTTTCATCGTCTGGATATCTTATGGCCTTTAATGCAGCTTCTGCAACAAAATCAGACATGGATCTCGTGCAAAATCTAAGCTGTATGAATATGTATAGATTGTAGTGTCATGTTATGTATACACAACAATCTCGAATTCAACCACCTGTCAATATTTTTATTGGAATAATTGGCATTTGCTAAGAATGAAAATTGCTGATGCGCTTTATATTTAGTAATCATGGATCCATTGTAACATTTTTAGCCATTTTATTTTTTACAGGAAAACTAGAAACATTGTCATTTGCTAAAAGTTGTGAAATGGTGAAATGGTGAAATGGTGAACACTAAAATCAGTTGGCAGTGGTGAAATTTTGATTCAAACTACAATTGTTTGCTGCTACCTTTAGATGCAGCATACAAAGAGACAGAAGGAACTGCCATAAGTCCTCCCACAGAAGAAATAAACACAATGCTTCCACAACCTGATGCCTTGAGAAATGGGTGTGAAGTTGAAACAAATGATGAGAAGCCTCAAAAGTTGTACCCATTATCAGTGAGTAATCTTCAGCTGTGAATTCTGTGGCTTCCTTAATTCGACTTGTGCTGGCATTGTTCACCTTAGAAATCGAAGTTCTCGTTTCAGAAACCTTGCACCGAAGAACACAATCATATGATAAAAAGAGGATAAACTAACCAAGATATTGATCTTCCCATCGAAATAAATGGTAACATTCTCTATCAGCTTATCTCGTTGGGCTCGTACTGATAAGTCACACACGGACCCTGCTACTCGAAAGACCTTGTGCTTCCATTCTTCTAAACATTCATCTAACTCTTTTTTATTACGAGAACATGTATACACGACAGCTTCGAAACGTGCAAATTCTTCTACGATGGCATGACTATAAAATATCGAGTCAGATGAGCACCAATTCAATATAAGGTGTTTAGTTTACACCAATTCAAAAATCATGTTTAAAAAATTATATCAAAAAAATTAAGAAGTGATTTATTTGTTTACAGTGTCACCTACTTCTTACATGTATTTTAGATCAATATTTCAAAGGCTTGGACGTATTAAAATTATACAAGCAAGTAAATTACAAGAGTTGAATTCAGCAATAATCTAAACATGCAAAAATATCTGTTCCCACGAATAAAACTATTAGAATATTGCATAATTCTTGAAAGAAAACAAATTAAGCTTACCCGCTATAGATGGAGGCTCGAGGTAGTGTTCCCGAATCCGATCCAAAAATATCTATGGTGGACTGAAGATTGTGAGGTGGCTGAGAAGCTATTTGAGCATTGACAAATATCTGGGCCCCCTTGACGCCGACCGTTGCATCTCTTTAAAATTTAGAAAAAAATGCACTTTTATTCCATTACTTACGGATTTTATTACAACTTAGCGACAGTCTGGGCACACTTATTAGATTAAGGGAAAAATTCATAAATAAGGTGTTTAGTTTACACCAATTCAAAAATCATGTTTATAGTTTGAAAATTCAAAAATCAGGTTTTTTTTTTTTATAATTCTAAACAACTTAGCGACAGTCTGGGCACACTTATTAGATTAAGGGAAAAATTCATAAATAAGGTGTTTAGTTTACACCAATTCAAAAATCATGTTTATAGTTTGAAAATTCAAAAATCAGGTTTTTTTTTTTTAAAATTCTAATATAATAAACCCACCCCACATGCACCACCCCTACTGCTCCAGAGACTATTCCGACGACCACTCTTATCCGGCGACCATTTTGGCTACTGCTCCGATTCCAGCGACTATTTGGGCAATCATTCCAGTCAAAGATTTATAATTTAATTAGTCACATTATTTTTCAGTCACAAATAATAATTTTTATAGCCACAGTTCAAAAATTTTATAGGTCACATTTAATTCGTTGGTCACAGATTTCAAAATTAGTTGGCCACAAATTAAAATTTATAGGTCACACGGTCACATATTTTCAAATCAGTTGGTCACAGATTACCAAATGGTTGGTCACGAATTTTTTTAGTCACAGATTACCGAATTTTAAGGTCACGGATTAATACTTAGTCGCAGATAAACAAATAATTGGTTACATACACCAAATATTGGGTCATATACTACCGCCACTGCCACTTTCGACCACCCTCACTCTGTAACGATTGCCAGCATCGCAACACTACCACCAATCACCATCACCACAGTCGACCTCCACTGCCACTGTCACAATCGACCGCCACTACCACATCCCAAGCAGATTCACTACCATCACCGGCATCTCACCACCGCAGCACCTAATCACCACTACTGACGACATGGACCGTGGTACAGATCACCAAACCGGCGAAAATTTCAGATCGTCGAACCCACCATATCCGAGCCCACCATTTCAAATCCTCGTCATTACAGCGGTGGCGACTGCACCCAAACCCACCATCACCACTGTCAACCACTACAAAATCAGATCGCCACTTCAAAAACCAGCCACTGTCAACCACTGCAAAATCAGTTCGCCACTTCACTGCAAAATCAGATCACCACTTCAGAAACCAACCACTGTCAACCATTGCCCACTTCACTGCACGCGGCACTTCCTATTGTAGCTCCCAATGTGGCTCAGTGAAGGAGACGAGAGAGATGGGGACAGAGAGAAGAATAGAGACTGAGAAGTGAGGAGGAGGGATCCCCACAGCGGCAGCGGCCACTATTGAGAAAGAGAAACGAGATGGGAGAGGAGGGTTAAAGAGAGAGAAATAGATTAGATGAGAGAATTAGGGTTAGGGACGTGTGGTAGATGAATTTAGTTTTGAATTGTTATATTAGTAAAAATATTTATTTTAAATATACTAATTTATTAAAAATATCTGATTTTTGAATAAGTAAACTTTGTACCTGATTTTTGAAGTTGGATCTTGAAACATGGGGTTTGGTGTAATTTCCTTTTAGATTAAAATGTTGTTGTTAGGGGTGAAGCCCAATAGATACTAGTGCAGGCACCCAAATCATTTTTTAAAAAAGATTTGGATTATTGGGCTTTTCAATTTAATTATTGAGCAACCTATGAGCCCATTACAGAGAGAACTTATACATGCACTGAGGCTACCCATTGAATCAAGGGAAATCAGGTCAAATACTCTATTAAAATAACTAATTTGAAAAATACACTTAAATTATTTAAATCTTTTAAGCAAGTAATTAATATGTTCTAAACTAAATCTTGAATTGAAGGATATGTTTTGTCTTTTCCTACATTATTAAAAGAGTGAGTTTCTTGTCACTGTTTATAAGCCGTTTGGCCAATTAGAAGCCACTTGGAGCCGGTTGAGCCGTCATTTGGCTGAGCCGTTTTCCTTTGAAGGACAAAAAGAAGTGGTTGTCCCTCATTTCCTTCTCCTTTCACTGTAATTTCCTTTTTCTCTGACATTAGAGTTTACTCCTACATGCAACCCTATTTCCCCATTTCTCACTGAAGAAGCCGTCGTTCTTCTTCGATTTTGAGCACAGCTTCTCATTTCTCTGTAATTTCCTTTTTCTCTGAGATTAGAGTTTACTCCTACACGCAACCCTATTTCCCCGTTTCTCACTGAAGAAGCTGTCGTTCTTCTTCGATTTTGAGCACAGAGCTCTGATTCTTTCGTCAATTGCCGCAGTAGAACAGAAGTGAAGGAAAATGTAATCGGTTTTTGTGCATTATTTTCCCATTTTTTCGTCAACAGTACTTGCTTCATTCTTCGATTTTGACCACATGGAACTCTGATTTCTTCTTCGATTGCTGCTGCCGTACTCATTTGACCTTATTTCCTAACCGTGTCGTCGTTTCTGCAGTGGACGAACAGTGCGCAGTCCATCCATTTTGAAGTTGCCGGCATCGTACTGCCTCTGTGTTGAACCATTGGGTTCAGACGAGTTCTATCCTCGTTCAGTTTTGGAGATCTGAGACACCGACAAAACCGGAGTGAGAAGAAAGTTTGTTTGTAAGTGGAGCCTTGTATATGTTTGATCGATATTTTTTCTGGGTTTATTCTTAGGTGTTTGTTTTACATTTTTGCCTTCATATTTGTTTCAGTTTTCCGATTATATGTTGGGTTGAATTTCTATTGACTGGTGGTTTTCGTTGGCTGTCAATTTTGTCTGATTATATGTTGGATCGAATTTCTGTAGATTGGTGGTTTTTGTTGGTTGTCAGTTTTGTTGTTAAATGATATTACACTTTAGTTTTCAACTTCTTTGTTATTTGCTTTCTCGTTTGCAACTAAGAGAATGATATAAAACCTAAATATGATAATGAAAAATATATAGCTTTGAGCTATACACGAACATAACTCTTATAGGGAAGATGTCTCAGTGCACTTTTAAATTAGAGGCTACCAGTTGTCGTTATTATAATGTAATTACTAATAAGTTTAGGCTTCTTTTTTTTTTTTGGCTTTCTTATTTGGAACTAAGACTAAGAGAATGATATAGAACCTATGATAATGAAAAATATAGAACCTCGAGGAATACTCTAGAAAATTACCTCGTTCTGTATGTTTTTTTTCTTCCCATTTTTTTTCTTACAGTTTATTGTCTTGACTAATTTTATGTTTACTTTTTGTTCTGATTTGATTGGTCATGTTTGTTTTGGAAAAAAATTGAGTTTTCCATTGGTCTTAGTCCTTCTATTGACAAAAAAAAATTTATTGGGAAATTATTATGCAAAAAGATAGAAAAAGATAATATCATTAGTGGTATGAATCTAGTGCAATTGTTGTTTTGTTTATGTATTCCTAATTTATCCATTAGGCCAGTGATATCAATCTCGTTGTCGGTGTAGTCGGTTCCTGTGTATGCCATGTGGATCTTTCTTCTTTTTTCGTTAGTTTTTATGGGCCTAATTTGGTTACTTCTTGACCATTCCTTCCCTTTTTATTCATTTTCTTCTTGTTTTGTGTATGTTTATTAATTCTTTGCCATTGATTTTCAGACTGCAATGTTTACGAATAATAAGAGGCGTAGAGAAGTACGGATGGGTGGTGGTGAATTAGATATCAATCTACAAACGCCAAAGAGAAAATCTCAACGTCTTCTTGAATTACAAGGTAGTATAGAAAAAGCCTAAACTTATTAGTAATTACATTATTCAATATTTGAATTCCTTTTGATTGTGATTGGGTCAGTGTTTTCGTTCATGTATATTTCCGGGGTTGGGTAACTAAATGTGCACAGCATTTAAATACTTTATTTTTTGCCGATTGAATGTTTTAGTATAGTATATATTATCTATGCTTTATGGTTTATAGTAACGAGGAATAACTATTTTGAATGAATATATTCTTTGTCTTTATTCCTCTATTTTTACTGTCAAATTTTCTTATCAATTTTTGCAGCTACTCCTAGTGCGACAAATTCAGCTTCAAGCAATGTGTTTCTTGATTCTGAAAATGGAGAGGATCAAAAGTAATGAAATATTTACATTGAAAAAAAAAAACCTTGATGATACATCTAATATTAGACAAGAGCATTTTCGAACTGATGAAACTATAGAAAATGATGCATTTACCTCAACATTCAACTTGCATAATATTCCTGCTAAATCTTATGTTCTTACTGAACCTATTATTTGCGAATATTGTAGTGCGAAAAAATTTAATAGAGAAAGTAAGAGATTTTGTTGTTCTAATGGGAAGGTTCAATTGTGTTCACATAGTGTACCCAATAAGTTGCATGAATTATTTACATCAAATTTACCCGAATCATTTCATTTCAAAAAAATTGCAAGAAGTTATAACAGTCATTTTGCGTTTACATCATTTGGTGTCAATTGCGATAATGATTTATGTGATGAATAAAGGAATTTATACATTTCGAGTTCAGGGACAAGTTTATCACTACATAAACTCATTATTACCATCTACTAATAATTCAACTTATTTACAATTATACTTCTATGATAATGATAATGATAATGAATTGCATAATCGATTGAGCACTTCAGAAAAATTTGTGAAGTAAATTTATAGATATTGATGGATATCTTAAAAATTAATCCCTACTCTAATTTTTTCGCTCTTTAAGTAGTTTGGAGAATTTGCACGATTGTAATATAAAAATAAAATGCAATCCCAGTTTAGATCAAAGAGTTTATAACACACCAACTACTTCGCAAGTAGCTGCTGTTTGGGTTGATGAAGATCCATCCACGAATAGTAGAGATCATGATATAACTATTTATGGTCATTCTGACACTTCACATAAAGTCCATTATTATTTTGGTTGTTATGACCCTCTTCAATACCCGTTGCTCTTTCCTTACGGTGAATCTGGATGGCATGAGGGTATTCCTAGATTAAATAAAAAGATCTTCGAACGTTCTATTGTACAAGAGAATGCTTTAAATATCAACAACATTTATTCTGGAAGTGAATTAATCGAAAGAGAAAATGAAGGTTAATGATATCAATCATCTTATGTTTAAATTTTTTTCCATGAAAATTGAGTTTGTTCATTCCAAAAAATTGAGCTTTATTGTTGTTTGTATTTTTCTATCATGCAGTAATGAAAGGAAGCAAAAGGTCGTGTATATCTTGTCGAGAGTATTATTACTATAAATTACAGGTACGTGACTCAGATGGTTGTATCTTGCTTCATGCTGGTAGGCTTTTACAGCAATATATAGTTGATATGTATGTAAAAATTGAGATTCGTAATAATCAAAAGCAACTACGAACGGAGTTATACCAAGGAATTGTTGATAGTGTTGAAGTAGGTGAAACTAGAGGTTATAAAATTGGTCGAAGGATTATTTTACCTTTTCCTTTATTGGAGGTACTAGGGATAATAAAAAAAGATATATGGATGCAATGACGCTTGTTCAAAGGTATGGTAAACCAGATGTATTCTTGACAGTGACTTGTAATCCTAATTGGCCCGAAATAAAAGACAAACTTAGATATAATGATGAAAAACAAAATAGTCCTGACTTGTTCGCAAGAATATTTATAGCTAAATTAGAAGAACTAAAGAATGATTTATTTAAAAGGCATGTTCTAGGATCTGTTGCTGCGTATATATACGTTGTGGGATTCCAAAAATGAGGTCTTCCATATGCTCATTTTTTGTTAATTTTTAAATTTGGATCTAAAGTTACGTCTGTTTCTTTAGTTGCTAATATTGTTTGCTGTGAAATTCCAGACAAAAATCAAAACGCCCATTTATATTCTACTGTTGTTAGACATATGATGCACGGTCCTTGTGGAGTATTAAATCAAAAAAATGTTTGTATGGAAAGTAACCAATTATGTAGAAATAAATACCCAAGAGAATATACATCAACAACTTCGCTAGGAAACAATTCGTATCCATTATATAAACGCCGTAATGAAGGTCAACAAGTTAAGGTAAGAGGACATTTACTAGATAATAGGTGGATTGTACCTTATAACCCTTACTTGACAACAAAATATGATTGCCATATTAATGTGGAAATATGCTCAACTCTTAAGGCTGTAAAGTATTTATATAAATATGTTTACAAGGGACATGATTGAATTAGCTTTTCTGTAAATGGCAATGATTCAGATAAGACTATTGATGAAATTTCAAGATATCAAAATTCAAGATGGATCTCTCCACCTGAAGTGACGTGGAGAATTTATGGATTTGTGTTGTCTGAGATACATGCATCTGCTGTTTCTTTACACTTGCATCTTGAACACCATCAGACAATTACGTACAGAGATTCTGATAATTTACAATCAATTATTACAAGATATTATACACAAAGAACAATGTTAACTGAATTCTTTCGCACAAATATTACAAATGAAAAAGCTAGGACTCTTTTGTACAGGGATTTCCCTTCTCATTTTGTATGGGATGCAAACAAACGAATGTGGACTATTAGAAAACAAAAAAAATGTAATTGGAAGAATAGTTACAGCACAACCATCTGAAGGTGAGAGATATTACTTACGTCTTTTGTTAAATCACATAAAAGGACCAGCCTCTTTTGAGAATTTAAGAACAGTAAATGGTGTTTTGTCATCTTCATTTCAAGAAGCATCTCTTTTACATGGTTTGTTAAGAGAAAATGATAGTTGTGAGGCATGTTTAGCGGAAGCCATTGTTTATCAATTGCCTCTTTCATTACGTAGATTATTTGCTACTATATTAACATTGTGTAGTCTTAATAATTCACGTTTGTTGTGGGACAGATTTAAATATTATATGTTTGAAGATTTTATAAAACGAGGTACATCATTAATTACCGCTAAAATTAGGGCTGGGCAAAATGTCCGAACCAAACCAAATCGAACCGGAACCGAACCGAACCGAGCGGGTTTTTTAAAATGAAATACCCGAACGGGTATCCGAATCGAGAACCGAATGGTTTGGTTCGGTTCTCGGTTCTAGACCCAGAACCGAATAAGAACCGAAATTTTTTTTTTATTGGATAAATCAATTTCTTTTATTTTTTCTAAACAAATTAATAATTTTTTTCTTATTAAATCTTATTAGTTGAACAATTTAGAGTTTATTTATGTTTGTTAGTTGTGTTTNATTAAATATAAATATAAATGATTACAACTTGGTTTCATTTAAAATTATCATAGAAGAAAGTGACAAACTAGCTACTATGATTACTGAAGAAATGAGAAATGATAATAATAAAAATAGCAATTTTGATGCAAGCACTTTAAACAAAGAACAACGATATGCTTATGATACAATTTTAGACCATGTCATGAATAACAAAAGTGGTATGTTTTTTGTTGATGGACCTAGTGGAACATGCAAAACATACTTGTATAAATCTTTATTATTAACTGTGAGGTCGAGAAATATAATTGCTCTAGCTACAGCTTCTTCTAGAGTCTCTGCTTCATTATTACCAGGTGGCAGAACTGCACATTCAAGATTTAAAATTCCTTTGGAAACAACTGAAAATATTGTTTGTTCAATCAGTAAACAATCTGCGTTAGCAGATCCTTTCAGGATGACTAGACTCGTCATATGGGATGAAGCACCAATGGTCAACCGATACACTGTTGAAGCTCTAGATAAAATGTTAAGAGATATTAATGATGAAAACATACCATTTGGTGGAAAAATAATTGTATTTGGTGGAGATTTTCGTCAAGTTTTACTAATAATACAAAGAGGGAACAAAAAAGATATACTAAAAGCAAGCTTAGTTTTTTCATATCTGTGGCATTCTTTTATTCAACTACCATTAATTGAAAATATGAGACCTCAATTAGATCCAATGTTTTGTACATAACTACTTGGTATTGGAAATGGTACAGAAAAAGAACACTCTTGTCGTATGATTAAACTCCCATCAAATATAACAATAAATTTTGAGGATGAGTTTAAGCCTTTAAAACATTTGATGGCATTGTTTTTTCGAATCTAGAAAATTGCACAAACAATTTAAATACTATAATTAATAGAGTTATTTTAACACCAAAAAATGAATGTGTGGACTTAATAAATAATATTTTATTAAAGGAAATACCTGGAAAAATATATATGTATTATAGCTTCGATGAAGCTATTGATAAATTTGAACAAAGTATCCAAGAAGATTTCCTAAATACATTAACTTCAAACGGTATTCCACCACATGAATTTATATTAAAGGAAAATTGTCCTGTTATGTTATTTCGAAATATTAATCCATCTGAAGGGCTATGCAATGGAACAAGACTTATTTGTCCAAAATTCGAAAAAAAAAGTTATAGATGCAGAAATTTCTTTTGGAGAATACTATGGAAAATGAGTTTTTTACCAAGAATTCCATTCATACCACTTGAAAATGACAAAACTTCAATTCCTATCAAAAGAACTCAATTCCCCATACGTCCATGTTTTGCAATGACAATAAATAAAGTACAAGGTCAAACTTTAGATTTTGTTGGTCTTTACCTTCCGGAACCTGTATTTTCCCATGGACATCTCTATGTCGCTTTATCGAGAGCAAAAACCAGTATAGCTATTAAAGTTTTAATTAGACCATTAGAAAATACTATGGCGCATAATAGATGCACAAAAAATGTAGTTTACAGAGAAATTCTTACTTTACTACAGTCTTCATAGCTTTTTGGATGGTGTTGACTGTGAATATAGTATTGTTTTGGATGATGTGCTTAAAAATGATGATTATAATATAATATAGATAATTCTTTTGGACTTTTGATTATTAAAGTTTAGTATCATCAACTAACTGCAAGCATGTTTTGATTGAATTGCCAATTCTGGAATTATGGTCTCCATTTAACTCTACTAAACCGCTTAGCCCATTAAGAGGCCCGAGGATTTAAAGGTATTGTTCTTGTCATATGCCAATCACCAGATGATGTTTTATCAATTAAGTCATTGTCTTCCTTTGAGACAACTATTTGCGTGGAAGAAAGAATGGAGGTCTATTCTTATTCTCAATTTTATTTGTTTTAAACACTACCACCAATGAAGGATAGTTGGTCGTGATATTTATGTGTTGCATAGTATACTGATTTTGGAAGTTATTGATTATCCAACAATTAATGATGCAGATTGTATAATATAGTTGGTGTTGTATTGATTTGTAGCTCATGGGTCATGGTTATGCCTGTTCATTTTACTTGATTTGTAGTCTGTATTATTAATGCCTAATACATTTTAAAGTAGGTTTTCTGTTCATCTTACTTGATTTGCATTCTGTATTTTAGGATATTTTTATACATGTAATTAATTGTTTTTCGCCAACTAGATCTGATTATGAGGAAGAAGAATTTGCCGCTGAAGACGAAGTGAAGAATAAACCTGGGAGAGTTCCTCAATATCCTTGTATTCCTAGCGAAGAGGAGATGAGCTTCAAACAATGCTGGGAGAGCGATATAAGACAAGAGCTAATTTTGTTACGTATGCACATGATGTTTATGAGCATAAAAGATGAACTAAGAGGGACACATATTTTTCGTCTGCAAAGCACCCAACAATCTGGAAAGTCAAATGCGTCATATGTTATCTAAACTTCTGGAAAGTCAAATGCATGATGTGTTATTTAATCAGGTATTCATCTTGCTCATTTGTAGAATCATTATTTTATTTAGGTTGTAATTATTTTATTGCATTCCTTAGTTTTCAGTTGGTTCCTTTTGCTAATAAATAATATGTTAACCTTATAACTTATGAATATAGGAATGTAAAGGACCTTGCACTGTTTATTGAAGCCGAGTAGTCAGAGTACCTCCCAAAGAAATCCATCAGTTGCTCTCCATCAAGAGCAAGTCAAATGCATGCTTATGAGGGCATGTGGACCTGTATAAAGAATGGAAAATATAAAGGCGATCTTACACAAATATGATCTTGCTACACATTTATGAAAATATATTTTTATAATCCATATTTATTTTTTTGTATATTTTCACTGTGCTAATCAATTGCTTTGATTTTTTTCTTTTGGGCAAAGATCCTATTAGCTTATTTTTGTTAATTGTTTCAATTATGCTTGTACTTCTAGGTTATAGCTGTGAATGATACAAGGAAGAAACTTACTGTAAAACTAATTCCAAGAACAGACTTGCGAGCAATGGCAGAAAATTTTGTCAGATGATATCTACCAGACATGCTTTTAATGTGAATATATATTTATTAAATCTCACATGGAAACGTATGCAGGTTATATATATTTTTAGCAACAAATTCTGTAAATTTAAGGTAAACCTTAACATCAAAGCCAAGTATAGAAATAAAATAAAACGCTATTCAAGTTCCGTTTAATTTTGATAAGAATCAACTCATTTATTTAATTGTCACTTTTACTTTGGATCATGGATAACATTATTTCTTGCTAACTCAATTCATACATATACTTGGCAAATTTCAACTTCAAAATGATGATTGTTATAATGCATCTAATCTAATTTCTTCCTACAGTACATAGTTTTGTAGACATTTGTTTAAATTAAATAGGTATACTATAAATTACTCCAAATTTTCGTATTATATAAATGAAGAAATAGATGGTGAAATATGAATGACAACTACATTAAGCTGAAGAAGACTCTCTCACAGCTCTTACCTTTTCAATTCAATAATATTTTCAAATTTCATCGGGGACGGCAGTTTTCGAAGTGTTTACAAGGGATGCCTAGAATTGAGTTCACAGGCTTTTGAACTTATGCAAACTGTCTCCCAGAGCATCTCCTTCATCATCAAGTCCCAAACAAATTTCTGCTCTCCCTTCGTCTACCACTTATCTACCATATCTTAGTAATGGTGACACAACATGCTCTTAACTTAAAGTTTTGTTATTTCACTTTCTCCCGTACCCTCCTGTGGGCTTTGCTATTTTACTATTGTCTATCTAATCTTCTCTGCTATTTATCCTACTTTGTATGCTGTTTGAGAAAGTGAATGGAATTAGAAGCTTCTATGTAAAATGTTTAAAACAAAATTTGAACTTTGCTATGTTTCATGAACAAGTATCTTTATTTGAAAAAAAAAACCTACAATCTAATTTCTAAAGCAGTGTACAGAGAAGCGTAAGGTGGAAATCACGAACAACCTTCTAGATTTTCTTTGGAATTATCTCGCTCGGTCGTGAACCAAAACAAGAAAAATCTCTTCGAAAACTGACTAGCTGAGGATAAATTGGAATGTAGCAAGGAACTTGGAGACCTTCTCAAGGTTAGATTTCCTGTTAAATCTAGAAATATTTTTACCATAGATTGTTTTCGTTGTTAAATTTTTGTTTACCTTTCACCTTTTATGTTGTAACATGAACGTGCTTTCTTCGACTTTCTTTCATTTTTTTTTTGTAGGCTGTGGACAATGACCTTGCACTGAAAATATATATCAAACCTAGAGCTACTCCAAAAGTTGTTACAGCTTTTACTGAGCGTAGGAAGTTCGATAAAATTTTCATATACTCCAAGCAGGTTACTCGCCCAATCAAACTGATATTCTTGCTTTCATTTATTTATTTCAGCATAATTACCACATTACACTATCTGACAAATCAATCAGTTCACAAGGAAATGCTATTCTTTTTTCTCAGTCTTATAGTTATTTCAAATGAACAAATATGTTTATCCTGGTACATGTTGGATATACACCAGACTATCTGTTATTGCTGCAAACTATTCTCCGATGAGATCCTCAGTTATGCTTGAAATACAACTTACCTTCTGGTCTTTTTAGTAATTCTCCTTTATTCAAATGTCATATAACATTGTATCCTTTGCCTATTTGCATCACTTCTCTGTTAACTCGGTTCAATTTTCCCTTTCCCTACTTCTCTTTTATGTGGGTAAGGGAGGTGGAGAGGGTGTGTGGCAAGTTCGAATTATCGGAATGATCGCACCTTAATGTTGATTGAGTAGTAAAGCAAAGGAAAAGGTTAAGACAAGTGTAACTGAGAATTAAACAGGTGATAATAGACTTTTTTTAAAAGAAAGGAGGTAAAATCTACTGATACGTAGCTGATTTTTCAAGTGAGCAAGTTGATTGTTGAACTTGTAATGGTTTTTTATTTTTTTAGTTTTCATAAATTTATAGCAAGATCATACTTGTGCAAGATTGCCCTTATATTTTCCATTCTTTATACAGGCCCAGATGCCTTCAGAAGCATGCATTTGACTTGCTCCTGATGGAGAGCAACTGATGGATTTCATTGGGAGGTAGTCTGACTACTCGACTTCAATAAACAGTGCAAGGTCCTTTACATGCCTATATTCATAAGTTATAAGGTTAACACATTCTTTATTAGCAAAAGGAACCACCAGAAAACTAAGGAATGCAATAAAATAATTACAACCTAAATAAAATAATGATTCTACAAATGAGCAAGATGAATACCTGATTATTCATATCTTTGGCATGTAGTATGGCCTTTAGTATCTATAGATAATTAGAGTGGCTGGATTGGGTGAAAGAGTTATGTTTCTGTACCCACATCATTGGAATAGGTAGCTTGTCATACTTCATGACTTAAGAGCCTCTAGTGTCTATAACACATGTTAAGTAAGCTATTGCATTTGCTAGGCAATCTAATGATGTCAAGCTGTTAACACGTTGAATTGTAAATTCGTACTTTTTTCATTGCATGGAAACTAATTGGCTTCCAGTTAATTTTTTGGTTCATCTCCAGCATGACCAATTAATGGCAATTTATTTTCAGAGAAAAGTTCGCAAACTGGGTTTTCCATGGAAGAAACTAAGGTGTTTAAGGTTTTCTTATCGCAAAAAAAGGTTGGTTCCTTCACGGTGAAACTTACTGCAAAACTAATTCGAAGAATAGACTTGGAAGCGATGGCAGAAATTCTGTAAGATGATTTCTACGAGACGTACTTTTAATGTGCATATATATTTATTAAATCTCACATAGAAACATACGCAGGTTATATATATTTTTAGCGGCAAATTCTGTAAATTTAAGGTAAACCTTAACATTAGAGCCAAGTATAGAAATAAAATAAAATACGATTCAAGTTCCTTTTAATTTTGATAAGAATCAACTCATTTATTTAATTGTCACTTTTACTTTGGGTCATGGATAACATCGCTTCTTGCTAACTCCATTCATATATATACTTGGCAAATTTCGACTTCAAAATGATGCTTTTTATAGTGCATCTAATCTAATTTCTTCCTACAGTAGACTATTCTGTATACTTTTGTTTAAATTCAATAGGTGTACTAGAAATTACTCCAAATTTTCGTATCATATAAATGAAGAAATAGATAGTGAAATATGAATGACAACTACATTGAGCTGAAGAAGACTCTCTCATAACCACTTTTTCAGTTCAATAATATTTTCAAATTTAACGAACCATATTTGCCTTGACATTGTAGAAAAAAAAAAAAAAGATAGTTACCCATACTCGCTACACTACGTTCCTGAACTACAGCAGCTTTTTCAGAAATAGCTTTTGGGCTGAAAACAGTAAGAGACTTTTTCAGCTTTTCTACTGGCAAAAGTTAGTAAGTATGGACTTTTACCCTACTCATCTTCACATGTCATATATATATATATATATAAAGTTTTCTTTTTCACCTCCTATAAATATGCTATTAAGCATAACACGTGCACACTTCAGTTTCAACTTCAATTTCATCACTTCAGGCCGAGAAGAAAGTCTCGTTTCCTTCATCTATGAGGTAAATATATATGAAAACATCACAGGAAAAACAATACTTTTTTACACACTAGATTTTCGTACTTTATTATTAATTAAGTTTATTTCTTCTTTGTTTAAGCCTTAATAACATGGCAGCAAACTTTAAGTTCATTCCACATATTAATCCAAACGAAAGGTACTGGCAAACAAAGGTGATTGTTGTGGAAAAATTCTCACAAAAACAGGCAAGACATAGGACCAACGGTATCAAAACATGGTGTTAATGGATCTTCAGGTAAACATCTTTCATTAAATAAATCTAATTTATAACTCTTCTACTTCTATGAAGATATCTAAAACACAACCATTTGTTTTTATTACCATTGAAAACGACCACAGGGGAACACAGTGCACACTACCTTATATGATGCCAATATTGCAGCCTTCGAAGATCAGCTCCAACTAGGCAAAACATATGTTATTTCAAATGCTCTTGTTAAAAACACAAAGCGCATCAAATGGTAATGTCCAGTGGATAGTATCTGGAAAGACACGCATTCAGGAAGTGGATGAAAACCACATGGAATTCTTGTTTTCCACATTCAGTTTGACCTCTTTTCCAGAACTGGAAAAACATATGGATTCCAACAGTGATATAAGTAATTCCTAACCAATCCTTTCTTCTACTTTTTCATCTTACATGTTTACTTCATGTAATTGTAAAACACAAATGCACATAATTATTGACTTTTAAACAAAACTTTTGATACTTAACTTCTTACGGGCATACTTGCAGTGGCTATTGACATACGTTAAAAAAGACTCATTCTGACTCGGTTTGGAAACTAGACTTATGTACACGATATTTTCCTCATAGCTAAATCCTTCTACACAATCATTTTAACAATGTGGGATACCTATGTGGAAAAAGAATGTGTTCTAATTGCAGAAAACATTGCAAAAAAACCTATCATTCTAGCTAACCGACTGAAAGTTTCGCCATTCAATGGTAGAATTTATTTTACATACTGTATAGCTTCTAATTACACATGTAAAGTAGTATACTTCTATACAGACAGGAAACTAATGTTTACTCCATGGTATAGGTCTTACACTGTCAACCAAAACCAATAGCACCTTTTTCATAGATGCTGGTTTCAATGAGGTTGCAGAATTGAGAAAATGGTACATAGAATTCACCTGGAAGTTAAAAAATCCTGTCCTAACAATCTCTATTAAATATGTATCCAGATTCTAATGCTCTATGAACATTTATGCTAGGGTTGAAGCACATAAGGAGGAATTGAATGACATTACACTGGAGAAACCAAATCAGATAGTGACTCCCACAAAGTTATCTCCTACCCCACACAGAAAATTTACAAACATACAAAACCTAAAAGGAATACTGCTAGGGGTAACTCATTTTAATTCATTTCATGCATATGTATGGTCCATTCATCCTATCCTTTACAGAGACATTTTTCTTATTTTTTCATCTAAATATATGACATTCCTCCCCAGTGGAAGTATTATTGGATCAAAGCTAGACCATCCATCAGAACAACAAAACAAACTTTTTGGTTTATGTCATGTAACAATTGTAACAAAATCACTCATGTTGATTTCGATGAAATTTTCCTGTGTATTTACTGCAAACATCCTACTGCAAAAGCTGTACCAAGGTAACACTTATTACAATTTATTCCAATGACTAACCTCAAACTTTTATACATTTTGATTTTTCTCTACTAAACTTAAATATACTTATTCCCATTTCCATAGAGCATATGCTACTATCCAATTGGAAGATGCAAGTGGAACTTTAGATGCAAGTGCTATTGGAGACCTCGTAGAGATAATACTGAAGCAAACTGCTCACGATCTGATGAAATTTACAACAACAGTAAGCAATGATTATAAGAATCATGCTACATAATTTGAACTTCTAAATCATACATGTATATTTATATAAATAATAACACATTTGCATCTTTATTCTCAGCAGGAAACTGATCCATCCGGTACTGTGATGACCGTACTGGACAACGAAGAAGAATACATTTTTTATATCAAAGTTACTCAGTTGGAACAGAACACAGCTCAATACAAATATGAAATCATATTTGTTCTGAATCCTATTCCTACAATTACAGATGCAACGGAACACCAAAGTGCTGAGAAAGATAAAAGCTCATTAGACTTTGCTGAAGAAATCAAAAATTCTCAGAGTGAAGAAACATCTACACCATCTGCAAAACGAGTGCTCTTCAACACGTCACCTAAGGCAGTGAACCCAGTGCTTCCTGATATAGTTGCTGAAAAAAACAATGCTACCTCCGGTTCTACAGCCATCAAGTCACAATAAAGAGAAAGCTTGACTAACCATGATCATATCGTTTTGAAGACACTATAAGTGCTACAACCTGGAAGTTAATTTTGCTCATTTTGCAATTACAACTCCTGAATGAACAACTATGTTCTACTTTGTAGCACAAGTCTATAATCACTCCCATAAAGAATAAGCTTAGAAGTTAATGGTTTGGAGTGCAAATTTCCCTGTATTTTGTAGTCAAAACGTTGCATATATTTAGTTCCAGGGAAATAGTCACTGTTATGTGCTTTTGTAGCTTGTAACTGTATTAAATTTTTGTAAAAGTTCAAGCTAAATAAATGTCTGCTTCTATTCAATCCTTTGTACTTTCAATGTTGCCACACGTGGAACTCTGATTTTAGAATCATGTGAAGTTCTATTGGATTTTAGTTTATTTGTCATCTTCTATCTTTATGGCAATTTTTGAGAAAATGTTTATCGATATATTTGTTGTTAGATAGACCTGTAACTCTTGTTTATTCTCTTTTGGGTTCTATGACTATAAGTTGGTATATTATTTAAAAATATTGTAGAAAGACGACTATGCCATATATATTTCATATGTGATTAAATGCTTTATGTCTCTTTGAAGTTTTTCCTCAGGTGGCTTCCTTAAATAAATTTTTATTCTAAATGGTATATTTTTTTTATTAGACAAATTATACTCTCTCTTGTACAGGATCTATCTATGATATAAGGCCGTGTTTGATAGGCCACATTTTCCGGGGAAGTAGGAAAATATTTTCCACTTTCCACTTTTTTGGCTGTTTGATAGGCGAAATTTTTCACGGAAAATATTTTCCGGATTTTCCCCACACGTGTGCAATTTTCGGGTTTTTGATGAAAATGTTTTCCCGCCTTTTTGGTGGGAAAATGTTTTCCCGGCTGGCATGAATTTTTTTTTTTTTTTTTTTT